TTTTCGCTCTATAAGACGCACCAGACCACAAGATGCACCTAGTTTTTGGAGGAGGAAAACAAGAAAAATAGTCTGAATCTCAGAAGCCAGAACAGCAAGAGGGATCTCTGCGCAGGGAAAGCAGCAATTCCCTCTTGCTGTTCTGGCTTCTGGGATAGCTGCGCAGCCTGCATTCACTCCATAAGACGCACACACATTTCCCTTTACTTTTTAGGAGGGAAAAAGTGAGTCTTATAGAGCAAAAAATACAGTAGCTGCTAAGAAGACCTTTAATTTATAATCACTACAGGCAATCCTTGCTCAGTGATAATAGGCCTCACCACCCTGTTTTCAAGTTCAAGGGAGAAAGTAGTCTTCAGGCTCATTCCCTCTGGATTAAAGCTGCAAAACACAAGATACGTGTGCAAATACTTCTTAGTTTCAGACTGCTGCGTTGCTTGGGGCGGTCGAGATCAAGGGCCCGGAGTTCCAAGACTGCTCAGGCGCAGAGATAAACTGATAAGCTAGCACATAAAAATAAACTTTGTGTGCATGTTTGGGGGTGAGAGGTAGGCTACAGTATCAGAATGGTTCTTGTTGACCTCAGTTCCCCTGAGCTTGTAGTCTTGTGTTTGTTCTGTTGTTCAAACACGAAGAGGGGTTTTTCTTTTGGTACAGGATACAAAGTATTTTTGTTGCCAAGTAGCCCGCCCATGGGTGAGACATTTGAAATGAAACAATGAAAACGGGGGCAAAATTGCATTATGCTGCTTTTTTTGGGATCTCTGTTTGGGATGGTGGAATAAGTGAGCTGGCAGATTTGGCTAGGAAAAGCCTTACATTGCAATGCAGCATTGCAACCGAGCTGTTCATCTCTCTCCCAGTATTATTGCTTGTCTTGGACCATAGTGGGGTAGGGTATTTTACCCCTGTACTTTATTTTACTTATTCAAAGTTACAGTTTACACATGCTGTGTATATCAAGTTTGAGTTTCATAAAGCCACCACACTGGGGGGGGGGGGGGAGTTTATGGAGTATAACTTCAGTTCAGTTATGGGTAGAATTTAACAGCTTCTTTTTCAGTAGTATTTCCAAGTGATCAGCTATTCTAATACGTGCTTCTAACCCTCAGCTTGCACCTCTTAGTTTCAAATGCCTTTACTTACTTTCCTTTTTGTATCTGTATTTTAATGAGGTTAATGACCAGAAAAATGACTGTGAAACTCGCCCTCGTTCCTCAGTGTCAACCGCAGCATCTGTTGGTTGTATTGCTGTCAGCAGAGAACATAACAGAACCCACAGAGCTGCCTTTTAGCCGGCCCTTCTCCTTCCAGTAGACTTTTTGGACAAGTTATGCGTCTAAATTCCATCACTTGCAGTGCCTTCACATATAATGATGACTGTTATGCGGACGTTAAGCTACTACTTGAAAGGCAGTGCCACTGAACTCAGTGGTACCTTTTCCAAGATAAATGTGATCCAAGTGTTGTTTTGCAAGACTGAGCTGGCTCAGCTAGTAACTTTGGAAGGGAATACCTTTCGGCAACAGAATAGACATCTTCGTGGAAGTTACTGGGAGGCGGAGATATCTCCTGACCATGCGTTTGCCTGCCCCTACTCCTCCTTCAAGGGATGCGGGTGGGGCTGTGGGTTAAACCACAGAGCCTAGGACTTGCCAATCAGAAGGTTGGCAGTTCGAATCCCCGTGATGGGGTGAGCTCCCGTTGCTTGGTCCCTGCTCCTGCCAACCTAGCAGTTCGAAAGCACGTCAAAGTGCAAGTAGATAAATAGGTACCACTCCGGTGGGAAGGTAAACGGTGTTTCCGTGCACTGCTCTGGTTTGCCAGAAGTGGCTTAGTCATGCTGGCCACATGACCCAGAAGCTGTACGCTGGCTCCCTCAGCCAATAAAGCGAGATGAGCGCCGCAACCCCAGAGTCTGCCACGACTGGACCTAATGGTCAGGGGTCCCTTTACCTTTACCTTTACTCCTTCTTCAGCAGAGAAACCTCTGAGCTCAAGTCCAGCAATTGGAACAAAATGTATAATTTGCTTAATTTTCCTTCTAATTCTTTATCCTTGCTGTGCTTCTCCTCTTGCAGAAATGGGGAGTTTTGGGTTCTGATTTATTGTAAGCTGGCTTTAGAATAAATACTGCAGAGTAAAAAAATGGGAGAGCTGCAGAAAAAAGGCTACCAAGCAGAGAGAATAGGTTCCTGGGAATGTGCTAAATGTTGACAGCAACAAGTGGTTACTGGAAACCTCAAGTGCCTTCTTTCTAGGTTCTGAAACTGAAACGACATACACGTTTCCAGTATTTTCTCCTCTTAAAAAGCTGTTAGGATTTTGCGCGTGTTATTTTAATCTTGTAAATAGGTCTGCAAAAGTTGCTATCCTTCTAGCCTTGATCCTGTGTACCTTTTAAATACCTACCTTTAGTCAGTTTTGTAGCATTTGTGGCCTGAAAGAAAGGTTGGCAATTCTTGTCTGGTTCACAAAAGCTTCCTTTGCTCTTCCTCTAGAAATGTTGCTTACCTTTCACAGCTGATTTGGCTGAGTGGTTGTTTACAAGCCTGGGTTGTTCAGTTTCTGTATTACCTCTGCATCCTAGGAATGTGCACAAACGGTGCTGTTATAAGGGTTTCACTCTCCTAATCTTAGTGGAGCATGATTCATCGTAAGGGAGGAAGCAGTTGCTTACCTGTGTTGGGCCCAAGCCACAGTAAAAGACACAGTTTGGTTGTTTGTAGTACTTCTGCAGCCACTCAAGCCATTTTGTCTACTGACTGCAGAAGGAAACTGGAGGCTCAGGTGTATAGCTCCACAAAAACAAAGCAACCCTAATGGGAGGGATGGTCAGATCGCAGGAATTTAGCCAAATGATGAAGATGGGATTTAAGAAGTGCAAGAGGTAAATATGTGACCAGATATGGGGAGTGGGTGGGTTGGAAGAGAAGTGTGTTCCATGTGCTTCCCTTTTTAAAAGTCTCCTCCTGTTTCTGAAGTGTTCAGCCTTGCCTCACTTTTCTCCCTTTTGCATACAGAGATGGAATTCATTCTAGACTAGTGCCCCTAGGTTTCATTCAAACCAAACAACCAGATAACTGTTGTTGAAACTATACAGTACTGCTGTTCAGATAACAGCTCTGCTCTTACTGTGAAATGAAGCAGAGTTCATAATATTGCCTTCCGAAAGGAGCTCTGTGGTGACAGAGAAGAAGAGCTTGTTTGGTTGGCCACGAGCATTTCCTGTAAATATACAGTCACCAGAGTTTTGTTGTTATGTGGCATGTTGTCAGAGACAGTGTTAGAAACTGGGATAGAAAAGCTAGGAGCCAAATGCTTCTGGGACCTGGGTTGTGGGCGCCAAAACAGAATGTTTGGTCGCCACTTTGGGGGAGGGGGGATGTCGGCAGCACTATTTATTCTTTTGGTAAACATGAATTAATACGTAATTCACATGACATGTTGTTTTTATCACATTTTTAGCAGAAATGGTTAATGCACGTTTAATTTGGTGTTTACAATGAAAATATTGGTACCATACTTCAGTTTTCAAAACACTCTACTCTTTATTGTTAAACTCCTTAGTACAGTCATACCTTAGGTTGAATGCGCTTCAGGATGAGCGCGTTCAAGTTGCGCTCTGCGGCAACCTGGAAGTAACGGAGCGCGTTACTTACGGGTTTCGCCGCTTGCGCAGATGCTCAAAATGACGTCATGCGCATACACAGAAGTGCCGAAACGTGACCTGCGCACGTGCGGACACAGGTTACGTTTGTTTCTAGATGTGAACGGGGCTCTGGAACGGATCCCGTTCGCATCTAGAGGTACCACTGTATATTGTCTATCCTTGAGTGTCAACCAGATGCAAAAAAGGCAGCTAGACTTTTTAAATTGCTCACAAATGGAGAATCTTTAGGTGCAAAATGCATCTCGCGCCCTGCTAATTTCAAACCCTGGTCAGAGACACAAACTTCTCTGTTTTCTCCTTGTATTCATATAATCATAGAATTGTAGAGTTGGAAGGGACCCTGAGGATCATCTAGTCCAACCACCTGCAATGCAGGAATTTGCAGCTGTCCTATATGGGGATCGAACCTGTGACCTTTGCACTATCAGCACCATGCTCTAACCAACTGAGCTGGCCAGGCATCTCAGATTAGAACATGAACCCTGCTGGATTTGAGACCAACGTCTGTCTAGTCCAGCGTGCTGTTTCTCTCAGTGGTCGATGTCTGAAACTATCAAGAAACCACAGGCAGGGCATTAAAGCAAGTCTCTTCCCCTGTTGTGTTGCCCTCAGCACCTGGTATTCCAAGGCACATTGCCTCTCAGCATCCCTTCCTGTTGAACTGATGTGAAAACCACATGCACCCTTAACAGGACTGCAGGGAAGCAGCACGAGGATTCCCCATCTACATGCTACACATGTAGTCAGATGTGTCATCTTTAGAATATATAGATGAGAAAACTGGTTTTCATCTCTGCTAGGAAATTGACATCCATGCATCATAGTCAGTGAATGCTGTTTCTTTTAAAAGAAAATAAAGAGCCATACCCACTCAGCGTGAAAATGGCAGTCTATTGATTCTACTTGCAGTATAGTTCTGAGTCTGTCCACTCAGATTTAAGCCCTAGTTCGTTCAATGGTAGGGTTTCCATATTTCAAAAAGTAAAAACTAGGATAGCCCGAAAGTTGTTGAGCTTTCTTTAGACGAACCCCAGAGTTGATTTACAATAAATGCAATTTTTCGATTGAATTGCCTAAGATCTAGAACAAAGCACTACCTTTTGGAAATCCCCTCACCCCGGCGTCAATTCCGGACGTATGGCAGCCCTATTCATTGGGATTTATTCCCTTGTAAATAAGTTTACTATTTGCAGCAAATTAATTAGCAAACTGATGAGCTTATATAAAGACTTGGGCCTTACTTGAGTTATTATATGTGTATTGTTTGTAACCTCATCTATTGGAAAATGATTCTGATAGGCCAATTATCTTCTTCCTCCGCCCCCAGGTACCCGAATCATCTATGACCGCAAGTTTCTGTTAGATCGCCGGAATTCTCCCATGGCTCAGACTCCTCCTTGCCACCTTCCAAATATCCCAGGAGTTACCAGCCCTGGTACAATGACTGAGGATTCCAAAGTGGAAGTAAACAATCTGAACAATCATGACGGGAAGCCTATAATTGGTAAGAGCATGGCTGGAAGTAAGGCACATTTTGTTGTATAACTTTTCCATGATCGACTTTTAGGGTTTCGTAAAGTTTTGCTTCAAAATCATGTCATTTCTTTCCTCAGTGCAGCATATATCTTTTTATTTCAAATTTGTGGGATATAGTGCTTTTCTTTGTCTTTAAGGAGCCTCTGCGTATCTAGCGCAGACTCAGTGAACTGTTGCACTGATCTTGTGTGGGTATGCTGAATTATCGCCCTTAGGCTATTAAAAACTCTGTAAAAGCACCAGTTGATTGACAAACAGGAAACTGCCTCCTGTTCTGTCATAACTATTTAACACTGGTGAATTACTGGAAGATTGTCTTGGATTTTGGCAAGTCCAGATGTATGAGGTTGTAGGTCACACAATCCCCACCTCCTGACACGATCTCCACCTCCCCACACCCGTGTGGTTTTGATAAGATAACTTGCTCACATAGACTAACTGGAGCATGAAATATCCATTAGGAGAGCTAGATTTCAAGCCATCCATTAGGACTCTTGGCTTCAAGCATATATTTAGGCTAAATGGGAGTTGGACAGCAAACCTGTAGTGGGGAAAATGAGGCCAATGGCATCTGGCATGCATTTTAATATATGATTTGACTGGTCCCAAACATGAGTTATTGGTATTTGTATTTAAATAGGGTAATAAATATGTGGATTTTGTGATGTACAGGCATATGATCATCAGGAAGATAGTGATCAAGTTCACTCCAGAAACATAAATATAGAGCATGCTATACGTATGTATTGTATACCGTATGTTCCCGTGTATAAGGCGCCCCCTATTTTGGGGGACCCAGTTTCAGAAAATGGGGGGAGATGACACAGAGTTTGGGGGGTTGACGAATATCGCTCACCCACACACGTCGCTACATCCGCCTCTTGTCTGTCCCCTCGCCGGCAGAAGCTACCAATCGTCTGCACACTTGCCGCAGCATCAGTCAATCAACAGCATCCATTGACATAGCAACCAGTAACACGCACAATAGTTGCTGACAGCCACGGCAGCAACCAATCAAACGCCCACCCTATGCACTACCCATGTATAAGACAATCCCCATTTTAAGCGTGATTTTTACATGGGGAAAAAATTGTCTTATACACGGAAAAGTATGGTATATACTTAAAGTTATGTCTCCTGCTTCAGTGATGATAATAATAATTAACACAAAATCAGATCAAACAAATTGGTAAACAGCAGAAATCTAAAAATAGGACAGCAGAAACAATAAAAAGCAACTTGGTTGACTAGTCTTGGGAAATAGAAAGGTCTTCACTTGAAGCCTGGAAAAGGAATTGTCAAACTGCAGCCCTCCTGAAGTTGTTGGACTACAGCTTCCATCATCCATGATCATTGGCTATGGTGGCTAGGGTTCATGGGATGGAAATCGGAGCCAAGGTAAAAAAGGAGGGTTTGACCACCAATCACAAAAGAGAAAAACCATGTTATTTCAAGCAAAGGTTGGGGGGGGGGAGATAAAAGAATGTAAGTGATACGCTTTTTTCTTTTTTGCAATGAATGAACTAAAACAAATAGTATTCCACATCCCTGGGAGAAAAGCCTTGTAAAGTTAAGGCAACTTTAGGCCTACCATACGTTGATGGACTACAACTCCCATCAGCCTCTGCCAGCATGGCCAGTGGTTAGTTGTGGTCCAGAAACGTCCACAGGGACACATTTTTCTCATCGCTTCATTAGAATGAAGTAGCACAATCTTGAGGATGTAGAATAAATTGTACCACTTCAGTATACAAAAAGTATATACAGACTTGTATGGATTGTTGGGGGTTTTTTTTGTATTTTTTGATTCTCTCTCTCTCTCTCTCTCTCTCTCTCTCTCTCTCTGTGTGTGTGTGTGTGTGTGTGTGTGTGTGTGTAAATAAAAGTGACAAAATGTGGAGTTTTGCTCCACATTATGAATTTTATACATGCATATATAAACACCAGCAGCTGCATACTTTATCTGGAAATGATTCCAGACCAATCCTTTCTGCTGTGCTGTTTTTCTACTTAGAAGGAATTTTGTTTTATTTTTTAATGCACGCGTGTACACCCCAAAACTACAATCTGAACAGCACACACCCCTGTTTCCTATATGTATTAATAAGGTCTGCCTCAAATGTCACTTGTACATGTGTGATGCTTCCTCAACCCACCCCATACTGACTTGTGTCCTCTTGTCCTTCAACCAGGTGATGATGCTCAGTTTGAGATGGACATCTGATCTTCCATGAGGGGCAACCATGGGGAGACAGCAACTCCTGATCACCTGTGCACATCTGATTTGGCCAACAGGATCAACAACTGAAGGATGGAAGAAGAAGAAGCTGTTTTCCACTGGAATCTTCACTTCAGCTTTTGAAGTGCCAAAGGATAAGAGGACTATTTACCCCACTCCTCTTGATTCCCATTAGCCATGCAATGCTTCTCCCCTCCTCCTTTGCTCCCCCCCCCACTGTTTGTTTTTAACCCTTTCATATCCCTGGTTTGTGACTGAATGGAAACCCATGATAAATTTATAGAGCTAAGGAGTGTCCCTTGGCTTCTCGCACTTTAGAGACAACTTATCAAATCATGCACACGCGAGAACTTGGCTTCCATCAGCATTTGGATAATTATTGCAAACAACAACAACACCACAAAAAGGGGCCATGGAAGGGGTGGATATATGCTTGAAGGGACACAACACTGCCGTTGTTCTCCTCTCCCTTAACTGCTGTCAATTTAATCCCATTTGGTAACCTGTTTCTGTGTATCTTTCATTTGTGTGTGCAGTGCACTCACTCGGATTCTTCCGCTTCTCCTTACTAATTAGTATATCTCGGCACTTGGTGGGGTTCTGTCTTGTACAAGGGCTTTGCTATGACGCCTTTCCAAATTATAAGTTCCCATCCTGTTCCGAAGAACAGGTGAGAAACCTAGAAAGAGCCACCACTCAAATCATGCATATTTCCTCCTAGTGCCTGCTAGAAACTCCCCATTTCAAAAAAACAAAACAAAAAAACCCTTCTCTCTTCAGCTTCCTAATTTGAACCCATCAGTGTTAAAGGAGAACCACATTTCGTTCTGACTTAATACCATACTTGATGGTCCTCTGGACTGTTTGTCTTCAAGTCTACTCTTCCCATTTTTGCTGCTGTTAACATCTGCCGGATTCTTTCCAAGTCTACTATTGTGCCAAAAGGATTCATTGAAACACCCTGGCTGTGCTTGACTAGAATAGGCTTCGCAAGAGTCTAGTGCTCTTGCATAAGCTTGGGACACCCTAAGATTTACCTACTGGGCTGTTGAAATATGCCATTCTGATTTCATGATGTGTGACTTGGGGTGGCGGGCAATCAAAAAGTTAGTGAGCCTATTGGAGCAAGACCACCCAGCTGTCATCCTGTTCACCCATCTTCTTGCACATTTCCTGAATTCACACATTACTAAATCAGCTGGGTGAGCAAGGTACCCTTTAGTTGCTGATAGCCTCACTTAATTCGATTCTTATGGGTGAACTGCTTGCCTGGGCTTGAAAGGGAGAGAGCCCACTCACCATGGGAGTTATAAGGCAGTCAGGCTACCGTGTGAGAGTGGATGAGTTCATGCCTTGGTTGCGGTGCTAGCTGATAACTTGAACTGTGTAAAAATGCATCTCCCTAAGGCTGCAATATTTTGTCACGTTTAATTGGCTAGATCGATCCATTAAAACCCATTTTCTCAAGTAAAACAAACCTTTTTTAATCTGACTATTTTTAGCGTGAGTACCTAGCAGAACCTACATGCAGGCAGCCGAAGAGACATAACAGGAAGTAATGTTTTGAATATGATGCTGCTTATGACACATGGGGTGCATCATATGCCAGGTATGTTAAGTTTCCCTCCCTGCAAACAATTTTTATTAATATGCACAGTGGGTAGGTTGATTTGCATCACATTCCTGTGCATGTTTATTTGGAAGTAAGTCGGGCTCGGAACACACAAAAAGCGTGTTCAGGAAGACAGCTGCTAAGGTTCCTTTGCTTAGATGTCAGCCTTCTCCCAGGCACCAAGCGGTTGATGATTGCAGCGGTTCATATGGTATCAGCAGTGCTTTTTTTCTGGGCATGGGGGACGCAGGGGAACGTATACCCCTCAACATTTTGTGAATCTAAGTTTGGCCTCATTGAGGGGCAGTATTTCAATATGAGTAGGAAAATGAGAGTACCCCTCAACATTGTTTTAAAGAAAAAAAGCACTGGGTATCAGTATGCCATGGCGGCCTCTTTTTCCTGGGGCAGGATCTCATCCTGCTCTGGTAGTGTTTGCAAATGGGATGACTGGATCGTACGGTCCACAGTGGATGTCACAGTGTGGTGTGGCAATTTCCCCCAAAGGATTTCATTCGGTTGCAGCTTGGTAGTTGTAGCACGGTACCCCAGCCTCAAGGAAAGTAGCAGCCTCACGCTATACTTGTGACTTCTGAATTGGTCCTGGGAGTTAAGCTGAACACAAATGAATGGGCATTGGTGACAGAGAAAACTTCCAACACATGAACTCATCCCTTGGAATAGAATTCTGCCCCTAACATCTCTTCTATAAATTGGCAAAGATCTTTTCTCTTCTTGTGATTTAAAAGGGAGGGTCTAGTAACTTTTTTCTTCTTGCCTGCACTAAAATGTGAATATAGGAGCAAAATTGCTTTCTAACTGTTGATCTCTCAGGAATAGGCTCTGCTTGCAATGTTTCTGGAGGACGCAACACTGCCCCTTAAAAGTGGTTGTGGTGCAAAAATGAACTAAGCTGTGATAAGCAGAGGGGATGCTCTTTAGCCGCGTTGCAAAACTTCCTGATTTTGCTTTGTTTTTGGTCAGGGTAGTTCTGAAGTGCACTATAAGTCCAGCCCAGAGTCAGGGCACAGTTGAATTTCCATCCTTCCTCTTGCATAATTGCCAGCAGTTGTTTCTGGAACCTCGTCGGCTTTTCTGTTGATGAGGCAGAACAGAGACCGTTTGCTCTGCAGTGCTGACAGTAGTGGAACTCGGATTTGTCTATGACCTAAGCCAATTTAGGCTGCAGTCGTAACCCCATTTACCTGGGAGTGAGCCCTGTTGAATTCAGTAGGACTTAACTTCAGGGTTGACATTGTTAGGAATGTGCTGTTAATTGGTGAGATGGAGGAGAAGGGCTGTACTTCAGGTGTTGCTGACAGCCACTTTTCTAATAGTATTTTTCAGAAACTCTCTTGGACTAAAGGAATGGCTTCAAACTTGCACACTCCCAAATCTCCAAGGGGTTACATACTATGAAAGACATTTGGTAGTACCATTCCTTCCACCTCATAACAGAAAGTATATCCCTTAGCATGAAATGCATCAGGACTTTCTATGTGTCACAATCAGTTTAGTTGCTGCTGCTGCTGTTGCCTCCGTAATCTTTTGGACAAAGATAAGGAAAGAAAGACTATTTGAATAGTTCAGTGTAGGTGATCATATTTCTCTTTCTTGTTCTGCAGCAAGTTTCCAGCATTTCTCCAGGCAAGTCTCTTTGTGCCTCAATTCCCCACTTGCTAAGATGGGGACAATAGACTCCTACCTCACAGGGTTGTTGTGAGGATAAATTGGTAGACATTTGTAAGGCACTCCCCCCAAAAACCAACCCCTGGCATGAGTGCCATGAAGAAACCAATAAATCTTACATTTATTTTAATACCCAGCCAGGTGGTTCAGTCGTGGCCATGAAAGAAGAAAGGCTGCTAGCATCTCCTGGATTATTTCCCTATGGCGAACAACTTAGTTTTTAAGAGAGCATCATTTTGATGGAACAAAGGTTGAAGGGCCAGCAACAGTTGCTCTGAGAGTTGAATGGGCTAAGGGCTCCTTGGTGCCTTTCCTCTGCAGATGCTATACCAGAGGTTTATCCCCCCTGTGCATTTCAGTTGCCCAGTCCGTTTTTGCCTGTGGCTTGGCCTGCCCAGGGGAGTGAGTAGCCAAGCTGCCCAAGGAGAGAACTCTTTCTGGGGAGATGGCACAAAGCCCTTTGCCTGTGACTCTGCTCCATGCTGAAGAAAAGGGCTGAGATAACACAGCATAAGGATTGGGGGAGCTATATGAAAGGGCCCTGGGCTGCCAGCTGCGCCCATCACTTCTCTAGCATACAGCAGTGCTGAGCCGAGCCAACTGAACACTAAGCCTACACAGCAGCCTTTATAGTTCTGGCTGTCTAGTTTGAAGGAGGGGGGAGAGTCCTTTAAATGCCCGTGCAATTGCAGTTCTCTGTGCAGTCTTCTTGCTGCATCCTGTGCTTCCAAGTGGTGCTCCGGTTTATGCAAGAGATCAAACCGATTCCCCATCAGGTTATAAGTTGTGTTGACTGAACAATCACAAATACATATTCAGTGGCTTGCCATTTTAAGACGACAGAACACACAGGCACTCCGAACATGCCCTTTCCCATTACTTTTAATCCTGATTCCAAGATACTAAGATGGAAAGTTGCACTTTTTTAAAAACAGCAACAACAGTGCAGTTTTCTGCAACTGCACTGAGGAACGGTGTTTAACCCTCGGCAGTCACTTAAAATTATGTTTGCTGCTGGCTTTTATGCTGTAATGATGTTACTTGAAAGATTTCTACTTGATGGCTGAGTGAGTAAAAAGTTAACAAAAAAGAACCCGACAGCAAGTTCGTATTTTTACCCCCACAAACTCAAAACTGCAATTTCTTATATTGTGTCTTCCTCACAATGTCACCACCAAAGCTATACGGTGGGTGTTTGGATTTCATTTTATCTTGCTTTTTAAAAGCATTTTTGGCTGGCTGAGACTCCCAAGTGCTGTTGCGACAACTCTGATCTATACCAGTCATTTTAGATTACCAGGGCTGCAATATTTAGTCTATCAATCTTTAGATTAACAGGGCTGCAATATTTAGTCTATCAAACATTTTGGTCAGCAGAAAAAAGGAACAGTAGATTGAAAAAATAAACTTTAATACAAGTACTTATACAAATCGCAGTGAAAACACCCATTTTAGAGGCCCTCCCCCATTTGTGAGAGAAAATGGGTAATATATCTTTTAAGGCAATGTTACCCTTTATTTGGCATGGTGGTGTTTTTTTTTAAGCTATTGTATGTGCAAATACATGCAGTTTTAATTAGTTACCTGACTAAAACTTAACCATCAGCTAAGATTTATTTAATCACTTGACAGCCTTATTGATCAGTCTATATTAGCTTGTCTTTATGCACACTAGTATGTGATGAGTCAGGGATGGCCAATGTCTGTATTCTGTGGCTGTTCTGGAGGCCAGAAATGTGTTTTGCCTGGATGGCCAGACAGATTCCATAATAAATGGTGCAATCTTGCAGTAAAGGGACATCACAGTTGTGTTTGAGCCAAAGAGAGTTGTAGCATGAACCGTATCTCTTGCTTACCCCACTTGCAAACACCCCCCCCTTTAGTGCTGAAATTGTAGGATACTTTTTACTATGCCTTTGATTAAAGTACATTAGGGCCACTAGCTAATACAGTATTGGAAGTTTGGGAATTATGAGGCTACCCTGGAAGAAGGAATATAGCTGCCCTTATCACCTAGTGTAGTAAGGAAGCAAATTGTGGCGTCAAACATTGCGGCGTTATGAAGGCACATCTGATGTGGGGCAGGGGAAACCACCACTGAAAAGGAAACCCCAATGACATGGCACAGTGGTATATGATTTGGGGGGCATGTTGCCAGAAATACCTAGATAACATGCATTTTGGGTGTGCCTTTATTCTGAGATAACCAAGAGCATGTACAAAACGCCATGCAAAAAAAAGATATGGTAAATGTAGTGCATACATTGGCTGAAACCTGTGGTTGGAGTAGGCAGTTTTCTGCTTCAAGTTGGCTTCTAAACTTCCAGCTTTCTGACATAACTGCCGCTGAAAGGAAAATGTGCCAGGAGGCCTGAGCCTCTACTATGCCTTATGTTTCCAATACCCTTCCTTACCTATACAAGAATATTCAAGCTCCAACACCTGACTATCCTTGTTTCTACATTAAATCTTGCATCGTGAGTTTCTTGTTGCAATAACAAGTCAGATCCCAGGTTTTCAAAGAGCACTTTTGTCGGCCCTTAGCTAAAATTGGACATTTGGGCTTGCTATACCTGTAAGAACCCTTACAGCCCTCAAGAATTGTCGCTTTGGTAAGCCTTTCGTTCTTACACCTTTGTATTTGGGAACCACCAGCTGGCTCTCGCAACCAAGGGTGAGTCTTGAGTGGAGTAGAAAGATTGGGAACCGAGTCAGTATTTCATTTTAAAGGGGGGTGATTGTGATGGTCTGGAATCAGGAGTCTTATCAGGAATATGTAGTTACACTTTTGCTTAATTTCCCCCATGATAGGTATCCTGATAGGTAGCTCACCAGCTCATACAGATCACCAGTTTTTGTGACATAGACTAGAATTGAAGATACTCAAGTACTTACCATTGTTAACTTCTACTGTGACTTACTTCTGTTGTATTAGTAACACCTTTAGCGTACTGAACTAAGAGCAACATAATGGATGCTTAAATGTGGCCTTGGAATCTGTTCTGTGTTACGCTGGAGTACCACGTTTATTGACTTTGAACAGAAACCACATTTGGAAAAGTTGGCCAAATCAGTGGTGGAGTTCTTCGTACTGTCACCAAAGATCACTAGCACAGTGTTGTATCAAGTTGTACAAGTATTTCCACCAATGAAAAAATGTTTCCAGACCCCAATTAAAAATCACAGTCACTATTACTTTAAGTGTCACATTCTATGGTATTTGGTTGTGTACATAGGATGTAAGTTGCCAGTGGGATTTACCATTGTAAATCAACTAAGGCATTGGAAGGGATGCTAGCTTCCTTAAGAGACCCAGGGAAGGTTTGAGATTTCACATCAGTAGGCCATTTCTTGTCCGGGATCCCTTCAAGCAACCAGCACCAATTTCACACCGGGGAGTGACATTCTAATGTCAGCCTTGGGTTCCTGCTGTCCGCTGCCATTGTAGCTCTGGTACTTCTCTTTGCAATTTCTGGTGCCTCTCAACCATTGATGATACTGTCCTTGAAATTTCAATAGATTGTTTTATTTCCACTAGTATAGTTAGCCATTGATTATATTCAGTATTTCACTTTGGGTCTCAGGACTGTGCTAAATCATTCTTGAGTAGTTTTCTAGTTGGGATATTTTGGCGTCAAAGATGAAGAGATGTTTCACTCCTTTTTTTTTTCATTTGTGCTAATTTTATTTCTCTCTAAATGTACTTGGCTGATTGATGTAGCAATGAGTTTTAACTCAGTTTTTCTTTCTCTCTTGGGCTGGGAGAATAGTCCCTTCTGCATTTCCGTAATTGTTCATAATGGTAAAAGAGTTCATATAGGAAACCTTGATAGGCATTTTGAGAAGTAAACTTCGTTTATGCCCCTGCGACGTTCTGTGAACTGAACTTGATTGCAACAGTTCATAAAATGGATTTACAGAAATTAGCTGCTCCTTATGCACATTCTGTGTGGCAATGATCTGCTTGCCTTTTTCTTTTCTTTTTGTCTCCTTCATCCTGACGTTATGCTGCACAGAAAGCTTGAGAGGTTGAAAGATTGGCTTTTGATAGTCATCAGCAAAATTGGGCAACTGTGGAAAATTATAAATCTATTGTGTGGAGAAAGGGTGAGTGCAAAAAATAAATATGTATATGTATGTGGGTGGATGCTTATACACACACACAAATATATATAAATATATATATATAGATATATATATGAATTTTTAGAGAAATAATGAACTGTGTTGATGCTTTTAATGCAGGGAGAAATTTTACTTAGGGCTGATCATAGGGAATCTCTGGTTTAGCAGAGCATACATTTCACAAAACCAGCTTTACAACATCCAAGGATAATTTATCTTGATCCCAAAATGCAAATGCAGCAGGAACCAGGTATAAAAATATGTGTGCGAGTCAAATAAGATGTGAAAGATTTCATCAGCATCTTGGTCTGTGTTTACATCAAGAACACAACAGGACTTCCCTTCCTCCTCTTGCAATCTCCCTCTCTCATGTCAATCTGCATCTCTGCAGGATGGTAATCCAGTGTGCCTTTCTTCACCTTAAGACAGGAGAAGAATTATTAACATTTGTGGGGCAGCTTGTTTTCTGGGTTTTTGTGGCCTCCTCGGGAAAAGTGTGGAGGCTGCTGCCAATAAAATTACTGAATGTCTCTGACACATTTTTTTTTAAAAATTGGTTATACCTGTCTCCTTCCTATTTACTGAACACGTCCTTCCTCACCCTCCATATTCTGTCTTTGTCTAAATGTAATCCTGGTTTAAAAGAAAACAGAAGTCATCTGAACAATCCTTCGGCTACTTCTGTACAAATCTGGTTTTTACTGAAACAGGTGTTTAGGGAAAACACTCTCACCAATGGTTGCTGTTACCATGAGATCAATAAAGATCTTGATTATATCAAGCTGCAGTGTTGTGTATTTTTCCATATTGAATCAGTAAGAAAACATGGGGTTGAGGATAGCAAAAGCCAGAGCTGAGCACATTTCTCCTTGAAGAAATAAAACTCGATAGAAATACAGAATAATGGACAATAGCTGGTTTTGTAGTGAATTATTATATAGCATATAATAATTACCAAGAGACCTTCAACATCCACCATTTTGTTGATCATCATAAAGTCCTTGCTAGATAGGCTGACGTTACCTTTAACTATTGTGTTACAACTGGTAGTACTGAATAATGAAATATGCCATTCACTTTGAGAACCTGTTTTTCCCCCAACTGATGGGAGAAGAATACCAGTAATCAATGGCTTGTATTTTCTTGGATATTTTCTTGTGAACCTACATCTGGATCAGAACATTTAGATCTTGTTTTAGGAGGAAGTCCATCCCTCTTCACCAAAACAAAGACATCTCCATCATTGTTGCCATAAAAGTTTGCTCATTTATTCCCGTTTCTTCTTTCAGGAACATGAGGATGATTTCCTGCATAATTTTTACCTATCAAGAGTAACCATATAGATAAATTTTAATGCTGATTTATTGAACAAGACACCCTGCTCTTACATGGAGTTCCCAGTGGTCTCTCACATTAGTGGTCAGGCCCACACTCGATTAGCTTCAGAATGTAATAACTTCTGGTATCCACAGTCCGTACACCAGCTCCCAGTTACAATATTTACAGTCTACTGAATGTTAACATATGGCATTGGAGTGATACAGCCATTCATAAGCAGAAACTTTCCAATGAAAAGTGTTACCCAGGGCCAGCCTTTCAATTAGAGAAGTGTGATACCTGCCTCAAAAGTATGAGTCTTGCAAAAACTAGCGGACTAATGAACAGCAGCTGGCTGCCTCTCAATACTGACACCCTCAAATTTAGCTTCATGAAGCCCTGGGATTCTGAGGAAGTGGGGAATGCAGTGCAAAAGTCCTGCTGTTGCCTGACTGGGATTGGGAAGCAGATGCAAGGAAACCAGTGGCGCTGGGGTGGGATGTCCAGGTTGGGAAGAGGAGAAGGGTGTGGTTCACAGAGCTGTCTTCTAGAGAGTACACAGGATGGTTTGCTTTATGTACATTTTGGAAACTTGTTTTCAGTTTAGCTCATGTGAGGACCTGCAACAGAATGCTGCACTGCATCCCCCACTTAGTGCAGGTGGGCTTTTCTCCTGGGCTTTAACCACCCTGGAACAAGAACTTTATAGTCATGTTGAGCTGAGGGCTCTGAGAAGTGGTGAGAAAGTTCTCTGGAAAGCATAAGGACAGTATTCCCTTTCTTCACTTCCCTACTCTCCGCAAACCTTCCACTGTAGTACTACATATTGCTAGCCCTGAGCCCAAGCTGCTTATTGCCAAATAGTGGCGAGCATAGTGGGGAGGTTTCTGCAAAAAGGGACTGTGTCCTTTTTCATTCGCTTCCTCCAGGCCTCCCCTTGATGGGAATGATATGTAAGCTACTCTGAACTCCTTAGAGAAGGTATAAATGTAGCACAGTGAAGTACAGTGGTACCTCAGGTTAAGTACTTAATTTGTTCCGGAGGTCCATTCTTAACCTGAATCTGTTTTTAACCTGAAGCACCACTTTAGCTAATGGGGCCTCCCACGGCCACCTTGCTGCCGGAGCACGATTTCTGTTCTCATCCTGAAGCAAAGTTCTTAACCCGAGGTACTATTTCTGGGTTAGTGGAGTCTGTAACCTGAAGCATATGTAACTCGAGGTACCACTGTATTAAACTGAGTTTGATCCAGTTTCTTCCAAAATTGGTGCGTGCTACTTTTGACTTACTTACCAGCATGTAGGTACGGTATTTTTTGTTGGCTGGAATTCCTCTTTCAATGGGGGAGAACAGGCCCTCATTGTAGAAGGCATTGTATTGCTTGGGGGTATACAACTGAGGAGCTCCTGCCTATCTCAAAATTCACATTGAAGTCCACTCTTTCATGGAACTCCAGTTATTTCAAGTTCAGTAACCGAGAGTTCCAGAGTTTATTGTTGTGCCTTTGCCTCTTGGTGACTTTTGGGGTCTCCTGCATAACATATTGGCAGTGGATATGCTGGGCCGTTATCTTGCCTTGGTAATGGGACTGGATTAGATCCAACAAACTGAAGCTCAAACCAGATAAAGACTGAGCCACTGTTAGTGGGCAGTTCCATAGACTGGATGGATGAAAGGTTTGCCTGCTCTTGGTCACATGAATCACATGCAGTGAGCAGCAGCGATTGGCTCAAACCCCCACCCATGTACAGTATATGAGAAATCTTGATGTCCTGTGTTGACAGATGAAAGTTGGAACGCTGCTTATTTTGGGACTTGGATGTGGGCATCAGCAGGATGATATCACCTATGCTGATTTTGCAACTCAGTCCCCAGCTATTAACTAGGAAACTTTCAAGGAAAGTGTCTGCATGGCTAACAGTGAACTTCCACATTTGGCATGTTGTCAGAGGAGAAAAAGCCCTTCAAATGATGCTTCCTGTGCTTTGGCATGTTTTCTACTGCACTGAACTGAGAGCACATCCTGTGTGGTCTCAACTTGAGCGGGCCCTTGCCAAACTCAGTGTAGCAGCAGCTCCTGCTTCAGTTATACTGCTTACTCTCTTAAGTAAAATACAACAGGAACAGGTGCTTGTGGAGTGTGTGTGTGTGTGGGGGGGAGATAAAAGGAGAGGTGAAAGAGAGAGACCCATCCTCATCTTAATTCACCCCTGCCCTTCACCTGGCCAGGTGGGCACCATCACCTGCCTTGTCCAACTCCTTCTTCCCAAGGACTTCCGCCCAGTCAAGACGATGGCATTTGCTTACTGTATGGTGGCACTTTTGGGGAAGGGTGCCCCACTACAGGCTCACCATGGGGGGGGCAACTTGAATAAAATGGGGGGGGGGAGGTGAGCCCCGCCCTGTGTAATTGATTACATGATGCATGCACACTATTTGAATGGCGATGCCCATCAACTTTGGGGGGCTCTATCCCCCTCAAGTATTTGAGGGGGGCCCTGAAGGAACCTTGGCGCCTATAGGATGGCACAGCTGAGGAGGAAGAAAAGGAGAAGCGTCCTTCCCTTCCCTGCTTGGCCGGCAGCCTCACGGGGCTCCGGGGGCTCCTCCTCCGGCCACTTTTTGCGCCCGTCCCGCCGAGAGAAGGTGCAGCCGCCACCGCTTCCTCCTCCTCTTCCTCAGCAGCAGCAAGGATTGCCAGGGTCGTGCTGGCCAGCGGCGGCGGCGGCGGCTCCCCTGCCCTGACTTGCCGCTTCTGTTTCGCCGGCCATGCGGGCTCCGGGGAAAAGGGCGGGCAGCGCAGGAGCTACGCGCGCAAGGCGCCAAAACTGAAAAGGGAGAAAGCGCGCGCGCAGGGGGAAGCGGGGAGGATTGGAGGTCTGCAGGCTTTGGGGGGAGGGTGGGGTGCAGCAAAACAGAGAAAGGGGGAGAGCAAAACTGAGACGACTAGTACATTTTTGTCCCACCTATCAGTTTCTGAAAATATCATCAACTTGCTCTTGGACTCTTCGACTTCTTCCTACGCGGAGAGGCAGACAGCCCTCCTGCCTCCCTCGCAAATATCGCTTGTGTCATTTGCTGCCTCAGTCCCGGCGTAATTATTCCTTATTTTAGCAAAGAAAAGGCATATGCATTATAAAAACCTATGGCACCAACCATGTCTGAGGGAACCAAACAGTTGTCGGGACCCATTTGGTAAAGACAAAAAATGTAGAGTCCTTTAAGTCATCCCAATGAGGACTGAGCAAATGTGAGCTGACTGCGGAGTAGTGCTGGATTTAGGGCCGTGCAGGACAAGCCCAGGGGGCACATCCTTCTCCTCTATTTATAGGGTGTACCAAATTTTGTCTTTGATCAGGATGCCATATTACCAAAGTCCACCCGGGGGCAGGGAATGAGAAGTAAGGAGTTTGGCTGAGATCCTTACTTAGGCCCCACTTTCCTTCTTCAGCATCCCTGGATTTATCACCACAGTCTCCTTCTGCACCAAATCCTCTGTTCCCTAGCACCCTCCTTCGATGCCCTCAGAATGCCTCCTCCATAACCCCTCTCCTCTCAATATTGCACCTTCATAAATCCTGAGCTCACAAACTTCTATTGCTGCTTTCCCACCTGAACTCCAGGTGAAAATCATTGTATGTAGTTTTATGTTCAAGAATTGCCTCATCCACTCTTACCGATTCAAAACTCCCTTCACCTTGGATCTTTCACAATTCTGCCACAGGCCTACATTTCTCAACTTTTTAGCAATAAACTCCCTGCGTTGTCTTCCTCCTGGCCTAGAAGTCTGTTATCACCATAATCAATTTAACCACAACTCTCACAACAATCTCTCCAATCCCACACCAAATTCCCTTTCTCCAGATTCTCCTGCATGTCATAGCAAGAAATAATACCTTCCTGACTCATCCTCACAGCCTCCATGGTTCTCTGATTCACACCCTCCATAGCTTTGAATTTCTTTTCAGGATGCAACTTTACATTATTAATTATTATATAATAACACCCTTTAATATAAATATTTCCAGGGATTCAAACACTTCTTAATAAAAGCAACAAAACAACAAACAGATGTAACAAAAAGAGTAGTGATGTATGGAAGTGAGAGCTGGACCATAAAGAAGGCTGATCACCGAAGAACTGATGCTTTTGAATTATGGTGTTGGAGGAGACTCTTGAGAGTCCCATGGACTGCAAGAAGATCCAACCTATCCATTCTTAAGGAAATCAGCCCTGAGTGCTCACTGGAAGGACAGATCCTGAAGCTGAGGCTCCAATTCTTTGGCCACCTCATGAGAAGAGAAGACTCCCTGGAAAAGACCCTGATGTTGGGAAAGATGGAGGGCACAAGGAGAAGGGGACGACAGAGGATGAGATGGTTGGATAGTGTTCTCGAAGCTACCAGCATGAGTTTGACCAAACTGCGGGAGGCAGTGGAAGACAGGAGTGCCTGGCGTGCTCTG